ACAAATAAAGGAAAATCAAGAATAAAGAGGAATATCGCACAAGTAAAAGATAGAGGAGTTCAATTAGAAAATGAGGAATCTAGAATTGAGTCCACTAGTCTATTTTGATCACTTAGGATTTATGAATTATTCTCTTTTTATCATATTTTATTTTAGATTTATTAAACATAGATTATCAAACCACTTAAAGAAAGCATAACCTATCAAATTATTATCCAAGTAAAAAAACATTCATGTAAAGAATAACAACTAGATATTGATTCTTGAATTCATAAGAATAACCAATTAGTTCTCTAGTTGATTATCATAAACATGATCATTTTAAGCACAAAGGAGTAATTCATAAATCATAAAAGAAAACAAACTAGTTTCATACAATTCTAGAATTCCTATAAGGTTTTAGTTCCACATTTTAGAAATTAAAAATAAAGAAATAAAATCTAAAGTAGAGAGAATAAAAGAAAAAGAATGAAAATAGAAACTAACTACAAAGAGAAAAATAAGAAAAAAGAAATAAATATTTATATTATAAACATAAAAATAAATCTAGACTATAAAAATAAAAATACAAGAAAGTAAATATATACCATAGAATAAAAATATAAGAAAAATAATAAAAAAATAAATAATAAGAAAATAAATCTACTCTACAAGGAATCAAAATAAATCTAATTCACTAAAAGAAAAAAAATCCTAAAACATGAATATCTAAAATAAAAAAAGAAAAGAAAAAGGAAAACTTACATTGCAAGAGGGTTCTAGCCCCTTAAAGGCAAATCTTCATCTCTACTTTCATCTTCATCTCCATCTTCACCTTCATTTTCATCTCCATCAACCAATAAAGAGAAGAAAAAAACATATGAAGAGGTAAAAAATTCTTTTATTAATTATAAATAAAGTTTATAATTTTAAAAGGTCTTCTCAATTAAAAGTAACTCTCCTCTCCAAATAAAGTTTTTATTAAAAAAAATTCAGACTCAAAACCCTCACTATCTATCCCTATTTATAGCCTACAACCGTAAATAACAACTCCTAAATTTTTTTGGAGAACAATGATTAAATCTCAGCCAGAAACTGTTTTTGGTATGAACAATCAATTGGCCGACCAATTTGTTTATAACTGATTTTTCGTTTTTGTTGATTTCTTGATTAGATTTCTTCATGAATCCTTGAGCTTTTTTTAGTAGTCTTTTGTTTTCATATTGGGCTTTCATAAATGGTACAAAATCAGGAAATTTGATTCTTTTAGGCTTTTATTCATTACCTATTTATTAACATGTAGATTAAGATAAAACATGTTATTAATAACATATTTATTTAAATAAGTAGATAATAAGGGTATAAAAATATAATAAAAATGTGATTATCACATATCTCATACCTAAACTTTTGCTAGTCCTCTAGCAAAGAAATAAAATAAAAAGAAAAAAATTAACTCACTTTCACTGGAATCATGGTTTTATTTAGTGCATACAACAAGCCTTTAAACCTCTAGGTTACCCTAGAAGATGAATTGTAATCTCGTGAGATTTTGCAGTGAATATATACATAAAATTTGATCAACTTGCCAATTTAAAAAAGTTAGTGAATAGTTAAATTACTTGATGCCTTTAAACAATCTAATTATAGCTAGTTTTTACTCAAGAAAATATTTTTATGTATAACTCTAAAGTAAATCTCTAAGAAATTTTTTCATTATAGTTATACAAAGCCAAGTCTAACTTAGAAATTTAATTAAAAGTTTTGAAAACAACATGCTAACTCTTTGTTTTAAATCATTTTCAACTCTCTTAATCAATTTTTTTCAAGAACATATACATAAATATAATTATATATAAAAAATTGTTAGTATTTTTTCTTTTTTTTACACTCTTTATTCCTTGGTGGTTTTATTCTATTTTATCAAGCTTTCTAAGTGAACATTTAACGAGTTTTTTGGCCAATGAACCCCAATCTAATTGAGTTTAGGTCATTAAGTATGGAAATACTCCTTAGGCTTAATTACTCGGCCAATTTAGGCAAGAGAGGGTTATTCATTGGAGTAATTTTTAGAATAATGGGATAATTTTTGGAACAGCAATGTTTGGTGTTATTCATTGGGGTAATTAGAACTGGAGTAACATTTGTGGTGTTATTGGTTTGTTGGGGTAATTATGAGACAAATACCCCACTTTCTCCCAAATTGTCCCAACTATAAAATCAATCCTCAACCCCACCCTCATAATTTACCCCAATTCGTTCGCTGGAACTAAATTACCCCCTTTGAGATCCGACGCCCCCATCGAAGATTCGACGCCAAATCGGCCGCCGAGCTCCACCTCCGACCGCTCCTCCAAGCTCGTTCGCCCCCTCCGCCATTGCCGTTCTCGAGCTCGTTCGCCGCCGTTCTCGAGCTCTTTCGTCGACTCCGCTCACGGCTCCAATGCTTCTGTCTTTCCTTCGGGAGGAAAAGGGTTTTCGCAGCGATTCTTCAAAAAATGGGATTGATTTCGAAAACGATGATTCATACTGTTGCGTTTGTTTAGGAATATTGTAGCTCGCTAGTGACAGTGACAGAGAAATTGGGAAATGTGAAGAGAAGGCATCTGTAGGGGGCATTGTTGAGAGGGTTGGTGAAGTTATAAGAAGAGGGAATCATCAGATCGATGGGTTTTTTCTTGAAATTTCGATACCCCCTGTTGTCGTGATACTATATTGTAATCTCCTTTGATGCTTGTTGCAGGATGCTAAATCTGGAGCCAATGAGTTTCGTATTCGCTTTATGTATACTCATTCTGGGTCAATAGCAAAGCTTCAATGTTTATTGGCAAATTTCTTGCTTTTGGGGTTGTATGTTTGAACAATTAAAATTTCTTGTTGCTCTCCTCGTTAAAGATTTTGGGGTTGTATGTTTGAACAATTAAAATTTATCTGATATTGGAAAATTGTGTTGTTGAAAAAGATTATCTGATAAATGTGATTTGGCTTCGTATGAAATTCTTGGTTAGGATCATAGAATTAAAATAAGGTTAAAAATAATATTATTGTATATTATAACTATTATTTTTAATCATTTAATATTATAACAAGTTAAACTTGAACTTAATTGAGCTATAAATATAATTCCATTAAAAAATGTGATACCAATTGTCTCACTCAAATTGTCCTATTATCCTATTTTACCCTACTTATCCCACTCAAATTATTCCATTGGGTAAAATTACCCCATTGGAACAATTTGCCCCAATTTGCCCCAAATTACCCCAATGAATAACCCCCCTTAGTAAGATAGAACCATCTTGGATTTTAAAATAATTTTTATTGATGCCCATTTTTCACACTATTCTTTTAAAAAGTTATATTATTTTCTACTCTAAGCAAAGCATGTAAAATTTGTATTACTTTAATTAAAAGTCTAAGTTAAGACTTTAGTGAAGTATATTAGTTTGAAAATTATTTCTTAATAAATTTATTTAGTGTTATCATAAAAAGTTAACATGAGTATAAAACTAATTAAGAATTAAAAAATTAAAGTTTATCAAAAAGTTCAATTATTAATTAACTCTATTAAGTTGGCAGATGAAAAAATTTTGTTTTTTATTTTTTGGAAAAAGAAAATAAAAGAATAACATGAGAATAAAAGAAAATGGCATGATAAAGAGTAAAAATGACTAGTCCCCACCCCCACACCTAAATTTTACATTATCATCAATGCAAGCTTTATGATGCACAAAGTAAAGCAGATAAAAAAATAAAGTTGTTAATGTCTGATATCACACAATCGATGAGGTTGAAGAGTTGTTGAATCGCCGAGGGGTTGAACCGTCAAAGGGGGTCACTTCCTACTTTGACTTTATGCCTGGTTCTTAGAGCTCAGGGTGGACGGACCACTTGCACATACAGGAATTGTGGGAGCACGGGGCTTGTTTCCCCCGTGGTACCTCTAACGGTCAAGTCAACTAGCGGACTTGAGTGGGGTGAAGGAAGAACGGTATATTCTCCCGAAAAATGTATTGTTTAGAGAGTTTCTTTTTTATTGTAAGAAAATCTGAACCTCTTTTTATGGCGAATAGCATCTATACTTATAGAGGATGCCAAGGGCAGAATAGACACTTTGTGAGTGTGCGATTTAAGATGGTGGTGAGGGGTGAGCTGGAGGCTGAGTCACCATTTACTCTATACGTGTTGATATGTGAGTGATGGATGGTCACTTCAAAGACATGGGGAACTAGCAGCCGTCGAGGCTTATCGATGAACGGCGAGAAGTCACTTCAGTAACGTAGGAAACCCACAGCTATCGAGGCTTGTCGATGAGCGGCGAGAAGTCACTTCAGTGATATGGGGAAACCGCAGCCGTCAAGGCTTGTCGATGAGCGGTGAGAAGTCACTTCAGTAATGTGGGGAACCCGCGGTCGACAAGGTTTCAGACGACTGAGGACGGAGACACAATGATGATTATAAAAGGTTAAATACTGCTGAGAAGAAATGTTCTGGGTCATCTTCGAGAGGAGTGTCGGTTAATTACTAAGTAGTAATCTTTTATTATGAAGAGGTTCGACTAAGTCCGTCTTTCGAGTCGTTTTTGAGGAATGAAACCGACTCGACTGAGGGAGTGACAGCTCGCGAGATAGTATATTCATGAAGAATAGGGGATACCCCATAACAATTAGCCCTTTTCGCTTGGATGTGGCTGTGGTCGGATCCGAGGGAAAAGTGAATGAGCAAAGACTGAGTAGAATTGATTTTGACAGCAAGATGGCGTCCTTTATGGACTCTAGGACGCCTGACATCATCAGACATCACTAAGGCTGTCTGGGTTGTTCTTTTGTCAGACTGCGATTTCCTTGAGGAAAGGAGGAGAAATGTCATTCGGTTGTTTTTCAAATTCCGAGGCTTGATCTTAGCCGTGGGATAAAATGGCTCCAACGGCTTGGATACATTGACAGTTGTAAAATATAAAACTATATAGTGTCGTTTGAAATTCTCATCCGATTAAACTATTATTGTCCCCTTGTCTCTCCATGGATTTGGAAGTAGTTGATTGTCGGGAATACCTGGAGGTCATTCACTCGAAGGTGACTTTGTCCCAACTAAAGATAATGTCTATGAAGTTTGACATCCCTAAGAGATATAAGCTGTCCATCCCGATGGGGACGGAGGCCATTTACGACCATGGGCCTGGACGGCATCCCCTCTATCTGAACCATTTGGAGTGCGGCTTAAGATTACCCTTGCCTCCATTCTTGAAGCAATTATTCGGGGATTTGGGGGTTTTGCCAACACAAACAAAATCGAATGTCATAGCCATTACTGTGGCTTTCGTGGTTATATGCAGCTGGTTGGCCATTAAACCTACAACGAAACTATTCACCTATTTTGTGGTCGTAAAGGCGAGCCAGAGGGAGCCCCATTATTACTTTCAGATGTCAGGATCATTCAAGTTGATCGTAGACCTCCCAGATTCCCATAAGGAATGGAAGGAGAAGTTTGTATGGGTGACCGGGGATGATTTAGAGATGGGTTGTTCCGATTGGCCCGAGATTCGCAGGGATGCACTTGTCAAGAGGGCACTATCCAAAGAAGAGAAAGTCCATCTTGAATCGATCAAGAAGTTCACTATTTCTCGTTGCTTCGAGGTTTTGCTTGATAGGTCCGTTCTACGAATGACCACAGTGTCGGTCATGCTGGTGACTAATCCTAACACGGATAGAGCCATTGCCCTTATTACTGGGTCAGTGGGAGTAACTGCAATGCCCTCAGCTAGGTTCATCGATCCCCAGGAGGAATCTTCTGCCAGGTCGACAAAACGCCTCCGCTCAGATGTCCCTCCTTCCGAGGTCATGTTGGTCTCCGAGGAGTGGGAGTCCTCTCTTACTCATAGAAGGAGAAGAAAGGAGGCCGAAGGGGTATCTCAACCGACAAATGAAGGGATGCAGAAGGCTATCGTCCCTCTGAGTGGTTCATAAGGGGGTTCGACCCCGAGAGGGTCAGTCAAGACCCTCCTTGAAGAAAGAGCTGAGGAATTTGAACATCCGTGGGAGTCGACTCAACGGGGAAGGAGCCGGCTCAGGAAAAGGCAGGATCACCGGGTGCCGATAGGAAGGACCCTTTTCCACATGGCTTTTCCGACGTGGATGAGACAGAATGTGACCAGCTGAGGTCCTGCATTATTGAGCGTCCTTCATCTGCTGCCAAGTATGCAAAGGAGCCCCAGCCAGAGTTCTGCTTTGAAGCTGAACACCATCTTGATGCTAGGGGGTCCATCATTGGGTCTTGCCGAATCCAGGCGAGTGCTATTGATCAGCTCTATCTCCCAGAGGATGAGAAGTTTCTCAGGAGAATACCTGACCTTGGCCTCCATCAATCTCTTCATAGTTATTTTCTCCGAGGGGCTCTATTGGAAAATGAGTTATTTGGTCGAGTAGATCATCTTTGAACCTCGCACCAGGAGCTTCTTGAGGAGGTTGATCTATTAAGGGCCAACGATGAAGTCCTTCGACAACAGCTCTCCGAAGGTTCCACTTCCGATGTTTCTCAAGTTGCCAAGCTTAGACGGGAGCTAAATGAGACACTTCAGGAGAGGGATCATGCTGATGTCTTAGCCCGGGCAGAGAAGGTGGTGACGGCTCATGCGAAGCATCAGTTAGACGCGACGGAGGTGACCATTGCCAAACTTCAAGAAGAGATCACGCGTCTAAAGTCTAAACCCCTCCAGGAGGTTATTGACGAGTACCGTCAGGAGATTCTTGATAGCTGTCATCAGGACATTGTTGACGAATATCGGGGGAGGTTAGCTAGTCAAACCGAAGTGGCACTAGCTTGCAAAGCTGGATGTGATTATATGTCGGCTCAGATTCTGACCGAGATGAAGAATAGCTTCAATCGCCTTCATTATCCTCCCATGGTCACCAACTATTTGCACGAGTTGGAAGAGTTGGAGGTATGAGGAGCAGGTTTTGACTTGAGTGGGTCCGGGGGTACTTTGGTCGAGGAACCAGATCTATCGACTCCTCCGTTCGGCTACTCCGAGAAGTCCTCCACCTCCGATCTCAGGAGCCGGAATGGATCTACAATAGTCTTCATAGGAGTTTTCTTCTTTTGTCATTATAGATTTTAATTTTGTAAGGCTTGGCTAATGAATGAAAAAGTATTATCCTCTTATTTTGTAGAATCTCGGATTTTTGCTTGAGTGAGGTGAGATCTTCTCTGCAGATTTGGAGGAATTTGCTTACTATCTCTGAGTCGATTAGTATTGCCTCCTAAGTTGATACTGGAAGGTGTTGTCTTAGCTTAGTTATCAAGGGGATGTGTTGACTAATGTCATCGTTTGTGTCATCAGTAGAGAGGATGTGGTTTCGTTGGCCAGCAAAGGCGTCAGTTGACAAGATCGTCTTATTTCTTTACAATATATTCTTGAGAGGATTTGGACTGTTGCTGCCTGACACGATGTAATAGCTTGTCTACCAGCTGTCGGAGATTCAACAATGATGCTCTTAAGTTCTCGAGATCCACGTGGCGTAGGGCTACGGAACGGATGTGACGTTCCAAATTTCAAATTTCAAAAAATGCCCATCCCTTTTCGTTGAATCTCCGTCATTTATTGTAAAGGATGAGGGTCGTTTGGATAGCTCTACCTGTCGATTGGAAGTTTATAAATTTACTTAAGAGAAGGGGAGAGAAAACCTTTCATCTTTTGTCATTGCTTTCGTAGCGTTTCTTTTCCCACTCCTGATCTTCCTTCAATCAGAGTTTCTAATGGCTTTACTAAGTTCTGCTTGCGGTCGCAGTGAGGAAAGGATCATCCTTCTTCGTTCCATTCATTCGAAGGTTTCTGCTAAGAGCCTTAAGAGGTTCTACAGCCTTTATGACATCCATCGGGACTTCAAATTGGAGATCCCCGAGGGAACGGATCCGATCTACCACCATGGTCCTAGTAGAGTTCCTGTGTACCTGGCGCATTTAGAATAGGGACTTCGATTGCCTCTTCATCCCTTCATGAAAGAGGCATGCTTAGCCATGGGGATTTCTCCTTCCCAGCTTGCCCCGAATGTGGTGGGAATCCTGATGGCTTTCATAGTTTATCTGCTCCAGAGTCAGCGTCTAGCCTTCTATGAAGTTGTTCGGGCAATTGGTCGGTAATAAGTCAACCAAAAAGAATCTGTACTTCTTCTTTCATTATACAGGCGGCTTCAAATTGATTTTTAATGCTTCGGAGTACAATAAGGACTAGAAGGAATATTTCATATGGGTTTCTGGAGCCGACGGGATTCTCTCCTGCTCAAAATGGCCGAAAATAAACAAGGACGCCTTGAGGCCGGGCCCTCTTGAGGTTGAAGAGAGGAGACAGCTAGAGAAGATCGGGTCTTATGCCAGGTCTCGAGAGAGAAGCAATCTATTTGACCCGGCGTCACTTCGGGTGGCGTACATCTTGGTTGGTTTACCCTCGGAGGCCGACCGGGCTAGGGTGAACTTATTGGCGCTTCCTCTTCCCAGGGGCCAGGAGGTAGGGTCTGTGGTCGAGAGACCAGGGCCCACTAATAGGCCTCAAAAAAGACCGAGAAGGTATGTAGTGTTGGACCCTATAGGGGGGTGATTAGGGTCAAGAGGCTATAATTATGCAATAAAATTAAGACAAGCAAACCATAATATTCTAATGCAATCAAAATAGAGGAGATAGGGTTAGGAATCGTTATCCTGTGACGCGCGATGTGTTAACGAGGTTCGGTCCGCTGACCTACGTCTCCGCTCCCCACTCTCGAGGAGAAATCCACTACACAACCCGGTTTGGAAGCCGAAACTTTGTCTACACAGCGATCCCCTCACGATCTCACACTACACAGTTGATCTCACTAGATCACACTCCCTCACAATTGATCTACACAAGATCACACTCTCAAGATAGTAGAAATGGTGTAAGACTCTCTCTTTACAATGTCCCTATGGCAAAGAGAAAGAGCACACTGAAGCTGGGAAGTGAAACACACAAGAACTCAGAAAGAATAGGTTTGAAAATTTTGCTCAGTAAAAACAACGTTTCTGGTTTTTGCAAAAGCTGGGACACTGAGGAAGAAGAAGAGGTTGAGTTTAAATAGAAGAAAACAGCTGTTAAAACCCATACCCTTAATCCCCCAAAATCTAGAAACAAACGTCGCTGAAATCTGTACTAAGCGGCGCCGTAAAAGTACAAAAATTACCGTTTGAAAACCTTGGCGGTCGACCAAAAAAACTTACGGTCGACCGCGATCCAGATCCGAAACTGAGAATCGAGCAGAGACTTCTTCGGTCGACCGGTGCGGTCGACCGATGGAAATTTCGAGCTCTCGGTCGACCGCACCGGTCGACCGACAAACACTCTGCTGCCCACTGACGAATGAACACAGGTGCGGTCGACCGGTGCGGTCGACCGCATTCTGATACATTCCAAAAAACTGTTTTTGACTCACTTTAAAATATTTGTAAAATATTTATTTGACCTCTGAAAATTATGAAACTTTGTAAAATGTTTTTAATACTAAAAATAAACTGTTTGGAAAAGCGGTCGACCGATTTCTGACATATTCTGAAATCAGGTTATTTGACCAAGTTGAAATATTTCCAAAATATTCATTTGACCTCTGAAAATTCTGAAACTTTGTAAAATGTTTTTAATACTAAAAACAAACTGTTTGGAAAAAGAATTTTGCAGATAGGTACTCATACTTGTGAAAAATAGTATTTTGTGAAAAACGCTTAAAAGCACAAGTCTAAAAACGTGTGTGTGATTCCCAATAGCTTCAAGTAAACTCAGTAACTCTTTGCCTACATTCTAGCACTAGAGAGAAAAACAAAAGAAAGCTAATATCCTCATATAGAGAGCAATATACTTGAGCTTTGATATAGCTTGAATCGGATGAAGCTTTTGATCGAATTTGTCGTTCTTGAAATAACGTTGCTTCATCTCTTGGCCTCCTCCTCCTTTGGATATCTTCGTTGTAGCATATATTCCATCCATCCTCCATTAATGGCACTAACGAGCTTGACAAATGAATTTACTACATTTATACTCAATAAGCCATTAGTACCGATAATGGTGGTTGTAAGAACATCATCAAAACATAAGGGCTAACAATCTCCCCCTTTTTGATGATGACAACCAACCATTATATAATAGCAAAAATAAAATAGCTTATAGATAGGTGCTCCCCCTATCTATGAGCTCCCCCTAAATATATGCAACAAATGAGGAGATTTCTCTCCCCCTTTGTCACCATCAAAAATGGGGTAAAGAGAAATGCCAAATGCAAAATGCAACTAATCAAGCAAGCAATGTAGAACTTTCACATAGTGCATAAGCCCAAACCATTTCTTATGCGACAAAAATCATCCTCTCCAAGAGGCTTAGTAAATATATCCGCTAGTTGAGATTTGGTGTCAACAAATACTAGGGATACATCTTGTCGCTCTACATGATCGCGTAAGAAATGATGGCGTACATCAATATGTTTAGTTCTAGAATGCAAAACCGAATTTTTGGAAATATTTATAGCACTTGTGTTATCACAAAAGATTTTAATATTTTGAAAATTCAAATCATAGTCAACTAAACTTTGTTTCATCCATAAAACTTGAGCACAACATAAGCCGGCGGCAATGTATTCCGCTTCCGTAGTGGACAATGCAACACAATTTTGTTTCTTGGAAGCCCAAGAAACAAGGGAATTTCCTAAGAATTGGCATGTTCCACTAGTACTCTTGCGATCTACCTTACATCCGGCAAAGTCGGCATCACAAAAACCATATAAATCAAAAGAGGTGCTTCTTGGATAAAATAAACCAAGGTTAAAAGTTCCATTAACATACTTAATGATCCTTTTAACCGCAATTAAATGATATGCTTTAGGAGATGCTTGAAAACGTGCACATGCACACACACTAAACATGATATCGGGTCTACTAGCGGTGAGATAAAGAAGACTACCTATCATACCTCGGTATAGTTTTTGGTCCACATCTTCACCACTCTCATCCGCATCAAGCTTAACACTAGTACTCATGGGAGTAGGCGCATGCTTAGAATTCTCCAACTTGAATTTCTTCACCAATTCCTTTGCATACTTGCTTTGTGAAATGAAGATCCCATCCTTAGTTTGCTTGACTTGGAGCCCGAGAAAGAATGTAAGCTCTCCCATCATACTCATCTCAAAGTGATCCTGCATAACTTTAGAAAATTCCTTGCACAAGGATTCATTAGTAGCACCGAAAATAATGTCATCCACATATATTTGAACTAAAATGAAATTATTTTTCCTTTTTCTCACAAAAAGAGTGTTATCAATTGTTCCTTTTGAAAAGCCATTTTTAACAAGAAAACTAGAGAGGCGAGCATACCAAGCTCTAGGAGCTTGTTTCAACCCATATAAAGATTTTTGAACCCGGTAAACATGATTAGAAAAAACATGATCTATGAAACCGGGGGGTTGCTCAACAAATACTTCCTCTTCTATAAAACCATTCAAAAAAGTACTTTTGACATCCATTTGAAATAATTTGAAATTTTTAAAGCTAGCAAATGCCAAAAACATTCTAATGGATTCCAACCTTGCAACCAGTGCAAAGGTTTCATCATAGTCTATGCCCTCCTCTTGATTGTATCCTTGGGCAACCAAACGAGCTTTATTTCTAGTGACAATGCCATGTTCATCAAGTTTGTTTCTAAAAACCCATTTAGTACCAATAACACTAGCATTGTTAGGTCTAGGAACTAATTTCCAAACATCATTTCTTTGAAAATTATTTAGTAACGTTTATAGATTCTTCAACAACGAGACTTCGTTTATTGAAGACCCTATAAGCCTTACTTCGAGGTGCATAACCCAAGAAAATACCAACATCAATTTTGGAATCAAATTTATCATGGTGATCTTTTGTATTTAAAATAAAGCATTTGCACCCAAAGATACG